GAGAAAGCAGAACAATTCAAGCGCCGATCTACTGATATACGTTCAACAGTTAAAAACTTTTCATTACAAGGTTCAGCTCAAGAAATCAAATCAAAAATAGAAGCCGAAAAAGAAAAAGATATCAAAAATCGCAAGACTTAATGAAATATGACAGTATTATTTTGATATATATTTTTAATATGAAATCGTTTTTAATCAAAGACTAATTTTTTTACATAAGGGTGTATGTGGATGGATGATTAGTAGAATATAACTAATATTTTAGCTTATTTTATTCAAGAATATATATTAAAAAAACATTTATCTCGATTATAATGTTGCACTGTCTCCAGTATTGATATTATTTAATTTTTGTATCAAATACACGTATTTCTATTACTAATATTTATTGTGAATAAACTATTGCTCATTGAAAAACACGAGAAAAAAACTGTATGTAATAGCTACCTTTCCTACAATTCACCTTAGTGATTACTCTTGCGAGGCACACAGGTTTCATTATGAAACTAAAATCAATAGTGCTAGATTCCTAGAAAGGCAGTTATTAGCTCTTTCAACAGAGGGAGATTGCGATCGTGAGTTTCAGAGTTTGAGTATATGTGTTCTCTTTCTTTTTGTCTACACGCACCCCACACTCATAGCCCGGATAAGTATTATTTTTATTAAGGTGGAATGCTAATAGATACTAATGTTGGTCGTCGTTATTCATCAGTAATATCTAGTAATACACGTTTTTGTATAAGTTGTGGAGGTGGCTACTCAAATAATTCAATAACACCGAAATCAAACAATTATGAGCAAATGAGATGTTTTTCAGGACTTCCACTTTTCAATTATACAAAAATGTATGGAGAAATTGATGATTTCATATTCCTTGTAAGTGCATTAACAGATTCAGAAATTGCTACTTTTACTGCTTCTGAGACTCAGACTAATGATATCTGATGACATTATAACCATTATATTTTGATGTACAATTTTTTATTTTAATAGTATTATTTAATGTGTACAACTTATTTATGTAATTTCTTGTAAAATTATGAATATTTTATTTTTTATCTAGACTAGACATCGAGTTAAATAACTGGAATTATTCGCATTATTATAATCATTTGTTTTTCAAAGTTCAATCATAAAATTATCACTTATGTGATACAAAAGGAAAACAATCAAACACGAAAATGATAACAAATATTTTCACGTATTCTTAGTATAAGAGAGAAAAGAAAAGAGATATATATATCTAATTTCTTTTCTCTTTTTATTCAACTACGACATATCAAAAACGATTTTTTCGTGAAATAAAAATCTACATTTACAATGATAAAATATTTTCGAATATTAAATTAAACTTGTTATTTTAAACGATCTTATTCTACATTTGAACATTCAGCATCAATTATAGATTTAATTGAATCTTATAAAAGTTTCACAAAACGTAAAGAATTAGCAAAACAAATTGATAAAATATGTTAAACAATTGTTTTTTTTTATTATAACTGGTCATTTAATTGATGAACAAATTCAAAATGATATGATGAAAATATCTAAAGAATTTTTTCATTTACTATTAAGTATAACAGAATAAATACATTTTTTCTTATCTGATGTAAAAGAAAGTTTTTCTTTTGGACCTGAACATGAACAAAAAATACGTTGACCATCAAAACCTTTAAATATGTCTTCAATTTGGTTAAATTATTATTCACAATATCAACAATTATCTCAACATTTATATAAATTATTTGCATTAGCATTAAATTTAGATGAACATTTGTTTGATAATAAAATAAATGAACATCATTGTGCATTATGTTCACTATTTTATCCATCATTATTATCATCATTACCACAAAATCAATATCGGTCAAGTACACATACAGATTATGGATCATTTACAATATTAAAAGAAGATTCAATTTATGGTTTACAAATACAAAATCGTTTTAATGGAAAATGGATTGATGTACCTTTTATAGAAAAATAGTTTTGTTATAATTTAGGTGATTTAATGTCTCGATGGACAAATGATCCAGGCCTCGCAGCGTGTTTACTTTCCTGATTTTTTCCTGATTTTTTAAAAATGTCCTGATTTTCCTGTTTTTAACTAAAATTCCTGATTTTGTCCTGATATTTTATGAATTATCTTCATAGGAGTAAATTTACGTAATTATGATCTTTCTTGCTATTTTACTCCGTCTATTTTCAATTTATACAAAATATTTTTACATATTTTCATCGAAAGGCAAGATAATATTATTAATAATATTCAAAATAAATTTATTTTAAACATTCATTTTTTCTGTTTTTTTCTTAATCGGTTCAAATTTTCATTATTTCCAATCGATTTAGTTTTTAAACTTTTCAGGACGGGATTATTTTTTTCAAAACGAAAGAATGCAATACGAAATTAGTCGAAGTTAATCAATTTTTCATTTAGTTAACTTTAATAGGTGTGAAGCTAGCACGACGAAACAAAGATTTAGCTAAAACTTTTTTTATAAAGTAAGTCCCGTCCATAAAAGCTAGTGCATTCGACTCAGAATTTAATTCTACATCGAATGGGGCTACTTTTATTCACGGAAGAAACTTTGGAAAAATTTTATCTAGATTTTTTTCTCTTACACAGAAGAAAAATAAAGATATAGGCAGAACTTTTTCCAAAGCATGTCCCGTGAATAAAAGTAGCACCATTCGATGTAGAATTAAATTCTGAGTCGAATGGACTTGCTTTTATGGACGGGACTTACTTTATAAAAACAAATTTGGCTAAATCTTTGTTTCGTTGTGCTAGCTCCATCGTGCTAGCTTCACATCGATTTGACATTATTCATCTTTTCGGAAAGATCACGGCGCATACATGCGTCACTCATACCAAAGACCAGAGTAATATCAGTGAGAAAAATAGATGAATACTACGGATCCTGAAATGTGGATCTTTTTGAAACGGGTGACCACTACAATGGCCACCCGTTCCGAAAGGGTTAAAGATACTAATTTACTATTAGCAGCTGCCACCAGTACTTCGACTGTACTGATATCATTAAGTCTCTTATTCTTCACAGCTGCAGCAAGTCTTGTAATTCCTTCATCTAACATATCAGTCATCTTGTTCGTTCAACAACTGTTTTTCTGTTTCTTTTATTCTTAAAGAATTAAGAGAGAATGCAGACTATAAGAATAAACAATAAGAAAGGACAGAAGAGCAAAAAATAAACATTAGAAGTGCATATTTGAAGAAAAGATAATATTGTTACACATTTTACTCTCTCTGAAGCAGTTTTCATGTTTATTAAAGCAAGTTATGCTGAAAGATTAGTTTTCAATCGTTACTCTGTTTCATCTAAACGTAGATTTTATACTAAACAGTAGTATTTCAACACATTTTGCAATGTCCTGATTTTTATTGAAATTCCTGATTTTTTTTCCATTTGTGTCCTGCCTATTTTCCTGATTTTGGAACATAGGCCGCTGCGAGGCCTGATGATCATTAGATATCAACACCACATCGTGTTATTGCATCATTAAATAAAAATTCATCTCGCCAAAGTATTGCATATTTTTGTGAAATAAATCCTGATGAAATAGTTACATGTATACCAACATGTTCTTCCAAAAATAAACCATTAAAATATCCACCTATTCAATCATGGGATTTAATTATGCAAAAATATTTAGCATCAACTCAAAAGAATAAATAATAACATTAACTTTCTCTTTTTTATATAGAAATATTCCATTGTCATTATGTAGAATAAATAATTTTCATGTATGAATAATCCAGCTTCTCAATTAAATTAAGATCAAGATAAAATAAATGAATTCAGGAAATTAATACATTCTTCGAATTTCTTTACAAAGGTCTGCTCATTTCAAAATAAAAAGTGAGTAGGTATTTTTTGAATAATTTTTGATAGGAACAACTGTGAGATCTGCGATTCTCATTATTGGATAGCGATACACTCTTTTTATGAAAGCTTTATGTAACAGTCTTAGAGAAATACTTTTCAGTATAAGTTTCGATGCGCCGACATTAATGAAAATCGCATTTCTCCATCTTGTTCATATTGAAAGTTATGCAAAAAATAGTCATTCGCCTGTTATTTTAAAACAAATAGTAGTCCTGTATGTATGATCTAAAACATGTTTTTGAAATCGTTTCGATGCTACACAATAACAATAGAACAAACTCTAAGAAAATAAAAGAAGAATTTATATAATCTATTGACTACTAGAAAAAAATAAATTACTTACTGGAAATGTACCATAGTAACAAGTAATAACAATCATTTGAATCAATTGCTTTTGAGTCTAAAGAAATGCATTCTTAGATATGCTTCCCGTTGCACAATCTCAAATGGAATTTCATGACAAAACCAGAATCATAAAAAGAAACTAATTAGAATATATCGAGCAATTTGTATTTACTTTTCTTCGTAAAGGAACTCATAATGAAGGACAAAGACGAGTAAAAGAATTTAAAACGACAATCTCAAGAAATGTATAGTATACAGTAGTAGTTATGTTTGTCACATAATTTTTTTTTGTTAATGTGAATGTGTTTATGATATAATATTCCAAGATTAAATTTCGATATTGATATACAAAGAAGAAGAATAAATAAAATATTTGTTGACTCTCCTTAATTTGATCGAAAATGCGTTGATATATTTTTTTCATAGTTGATTACTGATTTTTTTTTAGTTCAAAATTATAGAGCACGTTTCATGGGTCATAAAAAAACTACTAATTATCTATCCAAATTAATTTTCAAACGATCTATAGCCATTAACAAAATAAACTACAAATGATCGAAATATATATCATAAAAAAGAGAGAAATAAAAATGCTGATTATTTGCGACATCTGAGCTAAAAAATAGGTAATATTCGAAAAATTCTGTAATTGGTTCGTGCATTTCGTTAGTCACTATCAACATATAGAGTATCATCCATGCAGGAGGCAGACAGAACAAAAAAATGAGAATGAGGGTATTGATTTCGATCCTTGATTGACTCATATTCACAAGATTTAATATTTGAAATAAAAAATCTTTTTCCTATAAAATATTACTAACAATTATAAAAAAGAATATTATTGATAATATTTTATCTATTATTAGATTTTTATTTATTTGAATATCTTAATCTAAGAATGAAAAAAAAGGAATATTGTTTTATCATTTTCTTTATGATATTATATCAATATCCTTATTTGTTAAATTTCTTTCTTAACATGATATTTATAAATCTTATATAAAATAAAGATGTTTTATTAAATATCTATACAATAAATTTATAAAATTTTACAAATAAGTCATTGAAATTAAAATATGATCCTAAATTAAAATATTAGTCAGTTTAATAAAAATAATCATATCATAGAATTATTGTTTCAATGAAATTAATTTAAACAAATATTCTTTTTTTAAATTTACCAAAAACAATTCTACAATTCTTTTTTTGTTTTTTTCTGTTAGCAACTATGAAGAATATGTTTTTCATTTTAATTCGAATACAAATATTACAAAAATAAAACAAAAAACTTTTATTACTTCTCATCAGATTTTTATATCGAAATTATAGAAAACTTAAATTATATAATTTTTTTCTTTTCATTAGTAATTTTCAATATAAATATGAATAAAACATTTGATTTTAATATTATAATAGAAGATTATATTTGTTTTTCTCTAAATGATGATGCATTAGCTGCAACGATGATTACAGCAATAATTTTAAGGCATAAATATTTCGACATTTTCATATTTAATATCAACGATTGTTTAATTTTATTGTTGAATAATAATTAATAATGAATGTTAAATGAGATAATTTTTCTTGAGATTTTTAAAAGTTTATATGTGATATAAATGATCATTTTAATGTAAAAAAAATATATTCTTTTTTTCTTTAATATTCATTACGTCAGTCTTGTGATTTATTTTAAAATTAAATGAAGAAATAATTATAAAATATGATCATATCTGAATTTAATTAAAAACTAATGAGTGTTGTCAATAATAAAAAAAAAATGATGTTTAATATGAGAATAGTTTAAAGGGTAGAGTAATGACATCATCTTATTTTTTTTCTTGTTCTTGTCTATGTAATAAAAAAAAAGGTATGTTTTATAAATAGAAACGAAAACAAGAGACGAAAAAAAATTATGAATAAGACAAAACTTGCACTTGGTAATATGAGAAAAATACTCGGGTTATCTGTTCGAAAATGAAGGGTTCTTTTTGTGTGAACATGAAATTTAAAAGAAAGGTAAGTAATGATTGATATTGATTTTTATTCAGAATAATTTTATTTATACAAAATAATAATATATTCCTTTTTTCAAAAATGATAGTAATTATACCTGAAAATAAAAATAGTTTTTATTGTATTTTTCGTTTAAAAGACAATTGTCAGTCATTTATACATTAAATATAAATTATGATTTTCTTGTCAAAATGGATCTTATATCTCATTAATAAAAATTATATCAGTTGTGTGATACTAACTTCTATTATGAAAAAAAAGTAAAAAGTATCAAGTGATAATTTAAAATCTATCACTATAAAATCTATATTATAATGTATATATATTTTCTTCAATAGGATACAAAATATAGATAATAATAATTATTTATGTATTATTAGATTCTCTAACTATAAAAAAATGTTTAGAAAGAATAAATTTCTATGAAAAATATCACTATTTTGTGTCAGAAAATTTTCTTTTAGATAATTATGAAACTAAAATTTTCTATTATAGAATTCTCGATTAATTTAATGAAAATAAATATTTAGAATTAAAAATAAGATCAATATAATTAGATGTAATTTTATAGTCGAAAAATATTTCCCTAACATACATTAATATTTTAATGATCATATCTTCTAAAATATTTGTACACTGATATCTCATACACGAATTTTTAATCAATAATACCATATTTATTTATTTTGGTAGAACTTCGTCAGGTATTTTTTCTTTTAATATTATTAAATATAAAGTACAATATAAATATTCGTTTTCATTTTCTATTTTATTTGATGTATTCATTACGTGACAAAGATTATTTGAATTTCATCATATACATAATCAATACTTTCGCTACGGTTTAAATTTCGTTATTGAAACAAAAACAAAATATTATTATTTTGTACAAATAAAATTATTTAAAATAAATATTTGTTTTTTTTTCTCATATTATCAAGTGCAAATTTTGTCTTATTCATGATTTTTTTGTCGTTTCTTTTTCTCAACTCTTGTTCTCGTTTCTATTTATAAAACATACCTTTTCTTTATTACATAGACAAAAATAAGAAGAAAAAATATAAGATGACGTCATCACTCTACCCTTTAAACTATTCTCATATTAAACATTATTTTCTTTTTTATTATTGACAACACTCAGTAGTTTTTAATTAAATTCAGATATGATCATATTTTATAATTATTTCTTCATTTAATTTTAAAATAAATCACAAGACTGACGTATTGAATATTAAAGAAAAAAAAATATATATATTTTTTCTACATCAATGTTTGTGACAATATAAAAGATTGTAGTTCTCTTTTCTACTTTCTCCATGCTTTTTCTTTCCTTTGCTTTCTTTTCTTTCTTCCTCCTTTTTCCTTTCTGTCTCTACTTCGTACCGATGCTTATACCATATGGAGAACATGCGCTTATCATCCGCTGATACATTGTATAATCCATATGTTACATTATTATCCTCTGACTTCTTTATGTACCCAGCTATGGAAAACAATTTGATATCTTATACTTATCCGTTCTATTTAAAACTCTTCTTATGCTTTAGACCTAACCCATGATATCACTGCGTGTTACTTAGATGATAAACATTAGTTCTGTACTTAGATATTTATATGTTAGTGTGTGACTGTATCTTTCCGAGTACTATATAAAGGATGAGGAAAATACAGTATGGTTGCGATTTCTTTGGAAGAATAAAAGTTTATATAAATACATATTTTTATACAGTTATATACGAACTCAGAAATCATTATAATGATCATTTATATCATATATAAATCTTTGAAAATCTCAAAAACAAAATTATCTCATTTAATATTCATTATTAATTATTATTTAACGATCAAATTAAACAATCGTCGATATTAAACATAAAAATGTTTATGCCTTATAATTATTGCTGTGATCGTCATTGCAGCTAATGCATCATTATTTAGAGAAAGACGCGGTGATCAAAACAGCTATAACGGTGGCAATAATAGAAACTACGAGGAATCAACCTATACGCTTTATCAACAGCCAACAAATACTAATTATAATAATCAACAATCTCAAACCAACACAGTATGAAATACATGTAACAATGGTCAAACTATCTGTTGTAATAATTATGCTGAATCAAGTAAGTTTAATCGTTTTTTATGTTAACAGATAGAATTTATTTTCTTTCATCATGAAATTCATTATTTCTCTTTTTATTTTATTAAAACTTTAATATTATTTTAGATACTAGTTGTGACGCTATTACTTGCATGCGCTGTACACATGATATTTTCGATTCTTCTCATGATGTACTTTAACATTACCTTTTCTTTCGTTCTATGTGATGGACGAGTATATAAGCGTGTGTTGTGTATCAAAGCAATGCGATTCTTGAGAGGAAGAAATAAATGATGGTGTGGTATCATCAGCGCATACACCTCTTCCATCAGAAATCGGTACAGAAACCTCTCGAGGTACCCCACTCCGATTTTGTTCGTTCTTATATCATTTGATATTGAGTCTATGGTTTATTTTATTTCAAATTGAATTTTAGAAAGAAAACTACCCTTCTCTGACCAAAAAGTGGTAGAACGAGGGGAACTTGCGGACTAGGAGAACTAGGAGGGTGTGGGTCTGGGTGTCACTTTATTCAGGTCTATCTACACTCATTTATACTTATATCCACATCCACACCTTCAAATAATTTTTTGAAACCAATCAGAAATATAGATAGTGTTATGCTATTTGGCTTTAGTTCGTTTTACTAATTTTTAACCTGGATGTTAATCCTTTCTCTTCCAGGTATTTCTACAATTATTGTAATATCTTTTCAGATGTAATCTCTTCTATCTTTCACCTAAATCTCTTTGTTAAGGTATCATGTCTGATGATATCCTATGCACATCTAATTCTATACCTAGATAATTGCACTGCATGTATAAAGCTCGCGTTTTCTTATGTAAAAGCGTGTAAATAGTGTGGCCTTCTAGCTTCATTATAACAACGTTATTTATTATTTAGCTTTTATTAAACTTCAATACTCTCAAGCACGATTTCCATTAAATATATTATACAATTTAACATGTTTTTCTAATTGTATGATTCTTTTGTTCTAGATAAATTTTCACTTATTTTACTATTTTATATTTTCGTTAAATATAACCAACAAATTCAAGTAAGTGAATAAGCGTTTTTGTTGCGAAGGGTATTGTTCGCAAAGTCGTTATTTTATTTATGCAATATGATGTAATATTAATCGTAATTTTTTCTTTTCATTATTTCTAGTAATTATGACTTCAAAATCCAGTAAAAAAAATAATCAACAAGCCGCTGCTGCTAATTCAGCGGACGACCTAGGTTGTGGATCAACTGTAAGCAAGTTTGCAATAGGTGAGTAAAAATTCTCAAAATAAATTATATTTATAGTAAATTATGCAAAATTAACTAGGACAAGAAGATGAAGAATATTGGCTCGACGAACACGATGAGCAACAGCTTGATAAAATGGCTGCTGAACATGCTGAATTGATGGCTCTGTCTGAGCATCTTCGAGTTGGGTGGGAAACCCTTGGAGTTAATGCTGAGACAGGTGTATCATCTTTGGGCGAGTCTGCCAATAAATCCACACAGGTAGTTTTACCGATGTTTCTTTAAAATATATAAAAGCTTTCTAATAATAGGAAAATAATGATCCAGCAAACAATTCATCGGTCGACGATACTGATGAAGATGATTCAGAAAACAAAGAAAAAAAATCCAATAATAAGTAAGAATTGATTCATGATATAATGAAGTGTGAGTCAAAATTCATTGCTGAGGATGGAATCTCAGCATTTTCATTATCTCTTCAAACTGTGATTTCAGTCGAAAAAAGTTTTTAAATCTACTATGATGTTTATATGTCTTTACTAGAAACTTACTAGATAGTTAATATATCTTACGTTTCTTGTAGGTCACAGGATAGCAGTAAAAGAAAAAAAGTAGATATGACACCAGCGACACCAGAGACACCGCTACCAAAGGCTCCCCGTGGCGCTTCAAATTCAACTGTGGTAGGCTCAAAATCAACAAATATCTCATTGGTAAGTTGACTAAACTATTTAATTATCTTATCTATGTTTTATACTTCTATATAGAGTGCTGCTCCACAGCAAAGAATATTACAATCATTGAATACATCAAGTATTGGTGCTTCGAATGATGCTCAGGAGGTTAGGATATAGTTTTGATTCATACTTGACGTACGTTTTTTTATTTACTCCTTCGATTACATTACAGGAACCTGATGCACCTCCTAAAAAAGATCAAATTCGTTCGACGACACAGTCGTCAGGGTTGGCAAGTGCCAATGATGAGCAGGTAACTGAGACTAAACGTATATATTATATTTCTCATACGTTTGACTGTTACAGGCTATTGAGCAACTAAAACTGTTGGTAGACGAGCGTATTGATGCTCACTGGCAACATAAGAAGATCAAAGAAATCTTTTACAATGGTGATCAAAAAGATGTAAATACAATAAACTGTTTAATATAGTTCTTCTAATGATATATTCATTTCTTGTATAGAATAAAAAGATTTTCAAGCAGTTGTTGGAAAAACTGGACAAGTACAAAAATGATAAACTGAAAAGTGGTACTTTATTAGTAAGACTTTTAGTTATTATACTTATTAATTTCTATTTCAAATCACTATTAATTGTAGCGTGCTCTTACACAACGAGGTGATAATCCTGCGTTTTTGACAGCTGCCGAGGTTACAGATGGTAAATTAGGCTTTGATGAGCCTCATCAAATTCGGTATGCAGTTTATGTACTCACCATTGCTGTGCCGGAAAAGATTTATGAAAAGATGTTATCGAATCAGAAGTTAAAAGATCTGAAATTTCTTCAACGTCAAAATGTTATTCCTCTTGGAGGAATAGTTAACATCAAAGGAAAAATAGGAGAATCAACAAATCTTCCTAGTCGAAAGGCCAACTATTACAACTGCACAAGCCATACAGGTACGTACAGTTGCTTTACGGAATGCACACACAACTAGTTGGTAGATATTATCAGAGATATTCATGGTGACGCCGCGGTGACAAATATGAGACTTTGAAAAAAACTTTCTTAGATGAACACTATGTCATTTTAAAATAATTCTCTTTTTCTTTATAGATTCGATTTCAAAGGTGATTAACTTTCTTAGAGACCAAAAAAATACTCGAATTGAACAAATGGTTCAAATTACACCATTGATGTCACATAGTGACTTATATGTAAGTTCACTAAAAAAATCTTAATAAAATTCTTTAAAGTTTGTTTCCAGTCCGTTCCTGCATTGATCCAAATGGAAACATTATGCTCAATGTTACTTGGACGGAAAGGGAATTTTGGTTACAACTTCGTAGGCCGAGTGACTAACGCTTCAAAAGAAGAAATGCGTGAAAATGGTGAGTAACATCAAACATACAAATTTTTATATTGTACTGTTTGATAGTACAAGCATCTATTTTTCCCAATAATGCGGGAGCTAGTCCTCTGAAATTTAGAAAATTATTATTAACTTTTCTTTAGCTAAACGTCTTAATAACTATATGGCACAAAAAATCGAGGTTGATGGTACGAAAGTCACTCGCCGTCAATTAGCTCGTACGTTAGCGCCGATAGATAATTAATTGTATATTTCTCATTTCTTTTATAGATCAAAAAGGCGTCGAAACAAAAAAAAAAGAATTCCAAAAACCCGATGGCACGTCGACGAATATTTATAAAGAATCAGGTATGATATTCTCAGTATATAATTCATTGTATATTTCTCATTTCTTTTGTAGGTGAAAAAACATCTAAAACACTAACTAGAGAATTCCAAAACGAACATGGTACCACGATGACACGTGGTAGAGAAATTGGTATGATATTCTCAGTATATAATTGATTGTATATTTCTCATTTCTTTTATAGGTCTAAAAGCAGCCGATACAATGGCTAAGGAATTCCAAAACCTCGATGGCACGACGACAACAATTCTTAAAGAAAGAAGTATGATATTCCCAGTATATAATTGATTGTATATTTCTCATTTCTTTTATAGTTAAAAAAAGAGTCGACACAATGGCTACAACCATGGTTACTCTGGATAGCGGTCAACAGGTGACTCAACACCAATACGAAGCTAGTAAGTACATCTGGCGACATGGTTTATTTTAATTTAGAAAATCTTTTTAATACTTATTCTTTTTTTTTCTTACAGTCAAGAAAATGACCAAACCGAAGGAGGAGCTGGAAAGATTATTGGCTGAATATTTGGGACAACCGCATTTAAAAGACCTAACAGGTCATGAAGCACCAACCATGGTTGAGACATCAATCCACGATTATCAGTATGGATGGCAAGGAGTATGCGAAGGATGTGGCCAAAAATGGTGTATTTTTGTTGCAGAAGGTGGGAAAACACTTAGTGTCCCGACATGTAGACATTTACATGGTACCAAGAAACCCACAACGGTATCAAACAGAGTGTACGCTACAGATAAATTCATTAAAGAACGGCAATTAGCACAGCGCAGAAAAGGGAGCATACCTGAATGAAATTTGGTAACTTTTAACTATTTAAAATATAACATTGTTCACTAACACTCTTTCAAGATATATATATATAAATAAAAATAGAAAAAAATATAAATTTTTTTCTGAGTTTATTGATTAGTTTCTGTCAAGTTGTAACTTGACTTTATCAGAATTTAGAAGAGAAAAAGCGGAAAAAACGAAAAACTTACCTAAATGAACTGGTTATACTGAATATATAAGTTGGCGATAAACGATACTTTATGCTGAAACACACGGGGTATTTATCGTCTGGAGAGACATCAATATATACCCTTGTTTGGAATAGTAATCAGTTGGATATCATGTGTTATGGTATGATGTATTCCTTATTCATTCGGCTGCTTTCCAAACCCTGGTGAACACTTTGTCATATGGATGTGTGATACTTCTTTGTAATACATCTATTGATATCTTTCATCTAGATATCTCTTCAGATGTAATATCTCTTATCTGGATTTCTTTATCTAAATGATATGTTCTCGAGGTATGCCATCGATGCTAGGAGTCCGTTTTCAACGAACCAAACGAAGAAAGGAGCGAAGGGACCGACTCCGATAAAAATATGCTATAGAACCACCCCAAACGCTCCACCATCGCCTACACCAACATCACCAACATCACCAACATCACCAACATCAACTCCACCAGCAATAACACTATCTACATCACCATACGCCAAAAAAGCAAACATCACCACCACCCTCAAGATCCAGCTTGGTATTCTACAACACCAATTGTCCCCAAGAATATCACCAGACCACCGTCAACCTATCGAACGATTCCGATAGTGATGAAATCACTCAACGTTAACCATTCAGTGACCTCATCATAGCCCAACAAATTGTTAAAAATTCCGTCTCTCAATATGAAGATTAAGCAAATGAAATTGTTTATGAAATATTTGATTATATTGATATTTATGATATTTATAATGGTTTTTCAAATTTAAATAAACGATTTGAAAATCTTTATTTCTATTTAACTTCTAATCTTCAAATAAATATTTCAACAATATCAAAAAGACAATTTAATGAATATAATGAAAACAGAATTCAACCTACTCGAAATCGAATAACTTATTTACGTTTATCAAATCCATTTAGTACAACTACCCAGATCGATGATCCCTGAAGAAGTATTCCTATGAGTTTTCGATGAAAAATGTCAGAAAACTCACCATTTCTAACAGAAAACCTGCTCGAAAATGCCAGGAATTCTATCCTGGAATCAATTTCAAGCGGAACCGAACGGATTTGGTTACCGGATCCGTTCAATTGGAATACTGCTTTCATAAAATCTCCGTAATACTATGGAACCAGTCGTTTCTGTGCCGGATTGTCCCATCTGAGTATAATATTTTCTCCACCAAAAATACTTTGTAAATTTGTTCAGCTTAAAACATTAGTTCTTGATAAAACCGATTCAATATGTTTTAAAAATTTATTAAAACATCCGATAAACTTACCAAATTTATTATCATTAAATATAAATTTAATTGATTTTATAAAAGATTTAACAGAATTTTATCTGCAAATATTTCGTTTACCAAAATTAAAATTATGTCTCATCTTGATATATCATCGATATCAACAAGAAAATGTAGGGTCAAGCATATACAAACGAAAGCACACACACTTCAATCAAATAATAAAACGAAAAAAAGTGCTCGAGATAATCGTCACAAATTAAAGAGGGTATGTATCGTCGAAGAAAATATTTTTCTATAGGTAAAATAGCTTGTAATCGACTATTACTGTTCAATTTCTTTTACATAGAATTGGTTATTGATAAAAAAAACGCCAACAACTCTAGCAATACAGTGCCAAGACAACAGGAAGACATCCTTTCGAACGATATCCCTCGTGCCCATTTCACTAACACGTGATCTTTTTATCCCCTCCTTCCTGTTTCTTGATTCTTTCCTATCGATACATTTTCCTTCTCCTCCGCTCTCTCTAGTCTCTCTCTCCTTTTCTTTCATGATTTCTTTCTATCTGGCTTTTGTCAACTATATATATTTTGTTGCCACTCAGTGTTATCATTATTGAATAAAATAACTTACATACATCGATTAGAAGTATATTGTATCACAAAGGCTCATTTTCCTTACAAACACGAATTGTAATACTACGGATGAAGAAATTTAAAGATTTTTGAAATGAAAATATAGTTTTTCTTATATATCTAGTGTTAATTTATACAATCGTAGGAATGTCTTAGGGATTTGTTTTATTAAAATTTTTTTATCGATAACCCATACATCCTAACTGCATATGATTATGATAACTCTTCCTACTATTCTTGAGCATTTTCGAACGTTAAAAATATTATACAGATGTACACAAACTCAAAATAAATAAATTAATGACACTTTTACGGCGTATCTCAAAATGTTTTTCGCATAAAACTTATCCTTTATGCAAAAAAATGAGAGATAAAACAGTTTTCAAAAACTAACCTCAGGTTCAGATTTCCCGACCCCGATTATCTTTGATCCATCATTCTCTAATAACCGTCGATAAGTTTTCACTGATTTATAAAATGCTGCAATCTACTTGGCTTAGACAAAAAATTGACAAACAGACAAACTTTAAGCATTTTGATCGAGCCTATAACCCTTTCTTTCAGAAAAGGGAACAAATATATTAAGTCCAATAGAACATTTTGGTTATGAACCATTATTTCCATAATTAAGATTTGGGTAATATACATCTATTTTAATCTTTAGTTGAACGTACAAATAATTTACTCTATGGTTTATGGACTAGTAAACATATTAGTCAAAAGCAATATGAATACTTAAGAGTAAATAAAGATGAAGTTGAATTAGCTGTCTCTATTTCTTACCTAAAACACATAAACCAAATACACCATTGCAACCAATAATGGTTGGTCTTAAATCTTCTACCATAAGAATTTCTAGATGGTTTACCAGTTGATACAACTATTATAAATGGTGTTCAATTAATAAAACAAGTAGAAAGATGGTCGGCAAGTAATCTTACATTAGCCACATCAGTCATAACAATGGATGTTACAGATCTATATACAATGATCCTACAGGAAGGAGGAGTAACAGCCGTTAAACACTTGTTAGAAACATCCAAATTTAAAACAAATCGATGGTGTTAAAAAAGAGATTATCCCAGCTCTTACCAGATTTGTAATGACTAATAACTATTTCTATCTTGATGAGTCTTTTTATAATCAAATAAGAGCAGAAGTAATGAGATCTCCATTTATCCTAACAATAGCAAATACATACATGTACTTTGTTGAATGTCTAATATCGAAATGGACTCAAAGAACATGTTCAATATACTATAGATATATTGACGATCTATTCATTATGTCAAATATACATGCTGATATATTAAAAAGTCTTGTAAATTCTGAAATAGGCTTGATAGAAATATTGAACCTTCCGAATCTATAGAATCAACTGCAGAGTATCTTGATTTTAAACTTGAGAATAGAGAAGAGATATTGATAACTTAAGTGTTTCACAAGCCTTCACATGAACCATATTTTCTTCCTTTCACAAGAATACATGCACAACATATAAAAGAGAATATTCCTTATGTAGCTTTGACTAGAGCAACAAGATATTCTTCAAATTTCGATGCATATAAACGTGAAGAAATCCATATATATATGTATGTCCTTATTACTAAATAAATATCCAATATATTTTATTCTCAAACAATTTGAAAGAGTCTTACAAACACTTCTGTGTGCAGTACATACAAGAAAGAATTACTTGAACATAAGAAAAATCTTTTTAGATGCTGCAGATAACAATAATATTACAAAGAAAAAGACAAAAAATTGATTTTGAAGCTAACATTTTATGTCATTTCTCTTTTCCAAAAGGAATGCATGATTTCTCGACTCGATTTCATGAACTTTGAGATACTTGTTTTTCTCATACTGCCATTTGTAATATCAAACCAATTATAGGTTCCAAGAAATTAAATAATCTTCAAGATTATCTCATAAAAAAGAAACTTAACAAATCTTCAGTTGAAATTAATAAATAACTAACATGTTACAGTTTAAGTAATAGAGTTGTTTTAATTCTACAATATTATAACGCCAATTGATTATGGTTTAATAATTCTACCACACTATAACACCAATTGTTCGTGATTTAATGTTCTAAAACTCTGGAATTTTATAACACCAATTAATCACAATCAAACATTCTATGAATCACGACACAATAGCGTTCTTGATCTTCATCACTAATTGGACATGGTAAACCAGCAGTTATTCATGTACATTATTCTGTAGTTGTATTATAATATTTACTATTGTTGTTCCTATATAAGTTTTTGTAGATTCCAATGAAATCAAGTTATAATTTGATAGAAACTAGTCAATGAATTCTGCAAAAAATTATATATATATATTTTATTTTTATTTATATATATATATCTTGAGAGAGTACAAGTGAACACGATTATATCTTGAATAGTTACTAATAACCAGTTACTCTTTTCCACTTATTAACCCAGGTCAAACGCCCCCGGTCGTAAACGATCGTAAACGGCATTTTACGGCTAAAACACAACAACAGTATACGGCATCCGTTTACCGTGATCGTATACGACGCTTTACAATATTATACGACCGCCGTAAACGACATCCGTAAAAAATCACCGTATACGACCATCGTAAAAAAACGACAATCGTATACGACCATCGTAAAAAAAACGGGCATCGTATACGACCAACGTAAAAAAACGACAATCGTATACGACCATCGTAAAAAAACGCGCATCGTATACGACGATCGAATACTATCGTAAGAACCAAAGACGCTACCGAATCCTTTCCCAAACCGAAATCAACAGCAAAATAGTTGAAATCACTCAGGTTAATAAGACATCATTTCAAACTTCTTCAAAATCAACCGGAATCAACACTGAATTTCCACCACACAATCAAATCACTCATCCGCCCAACAAAATGTGAACAAAATCCTATGAGAACCTTAAGAAATCTTCGACAAATCCGATGAAATTTTTTAAAACATATCAGAAACTGAAGGGAATGTTTTAAAAAAAAAATTCGTTTCCACTCAAAAAAATTCTTGGAAAATTATCGAAATCCTAGAGAAATCATGAGAAATCCTCCGGAAATCTTCGAGAAATCGTTTGAATTTTTAAAAACATTTTTTTGTTGGAAATTTAAAATCTTAATCACTGAATTTCGGTCCACTAATCATTCACCGTTTTGTTTTGCAAGTATATCTACATATATACCCCTACTTCATTTTGATTTCTCTTATCATCTTAAATTAATTATGGGATTACGGATGGGACTTGTCGCTGAATATTTAGTATGTGAGTATGCCAAGGGGGAAAAAGCGAGACTTCATCTACTTCAAATGTTTTTGAAGT